AACCATGTATTCCTGTACAAAAGTAGCAGAAGTACACATTCTTCAGCCGAGATATAGGTGCTTTCCTTGTTAATAATGCAATATATTAGCAAATAAAACAAAGAGTTTTCTATGGCGTTTGGACCACACTGAATGATCTGTTTTCATATATTTTTACAAAACACTAAAATCATTACCACACACAAACTCAGCACTATAATCAGTAACACGTAACAATTAATTAATACATTCATGAACACATTTCTTATCTGGATATGATTATATATATTGAAGCAAATGGGAACCAAACAACATGACTTATACGCCACACTGTCAACCTTAAATATGGCTTTAATTCTTCAATATGGGTAGTTTTTGAGTATTGAGTAAATCTCAGCATATGCCATCTATAAACTGCTTCTTGTACTGAGATGATAATGGTCACTGGAACTTATTTAAAGAGGAACTTTTTTGTCTATAATATAAAGATAAAAAATTTAAGTTTATTTATATAATTTTAAAAATAAATATTAGGACAATATAAAAATGAGAACACATTACAATCCACTCATATGATCAAGGAAAAATATTGGGAATGAAGACCTGAACTGCATCTAGAAACTCTGCAATATTGGTAAATCATTGTAACAGTCTCAGCTCTACACTCCACACATGTGTGTATATATACTAGAAAACAGAAGGAACTGAAAATACAGGGAAACCAAGTTCAGTCATTCTTCACATGACTAAAGATGTGGATGTTACTCTCAGGCACACCAAATAAGTGGGAAAGATGAAGTCAAGATTCTAGACATGGAGTCAAACCAATACAGAATTTACAAGGGTTATATTATTAACATCAAGCAAAGTTAGATCATACAGCACTAAGCAGCAAGTGGTAACTTGTCTAGATTTGAACCAAGCCATCCAAAATGTTGACAATGTGGGTAAACATACAGACTTAATGGAACTTTGTAATGAATACACCACATCATGGCTGAGTAACAAAGATTCCATCAGATAACATTAAAGCATGAAAGGCATGAGGAATCTTGCTTTGTTACCAATTAGAACTTGGAAAAATATGCAAAGGCAGGGAGACCATTCTAATGTATCAATACAATATTCCATTGTTTTTAAAATACCAGCTAATACTGACAATTTCCATTTTTCAGATTTCAACACTATACCTCAACGTTTTAAGTTATTACCTACACAATACTGAGTAAAAGTTTGTTTTGGGACAGCCCAAGTATACATATTGCTATACGATGACAAAACACCTCAGAGTCTGCATACATTACTGACCTTTATATTGACGTGTCCGCCATAGAAAAAATTCTATACATACTGCTTTTATTAAAACCAAATAGTTCCAGTGTACTGTCAGATTATGGTCAGATGGATGTCCTACCAGTCTAACCAATAGGTTCCCAAAATTATAAGCTGCTCCTGTGAATTAATGCTTCAACCAATTATTTTGTAACTTATCAGATATGTGTACAAATCAAATGTAGTTTGGAAATATTATAAACTAAAAACATGGACACACTGTACGCCATTTTTCTGATCAATGTATACATAATGCACAAGCTATGCATGGCATAAAATATATCCTGTAGAAAGGAGAATCAAATTTGTTAAATCTTTGTAACATTCATGGATATGTAGGCACCTTAATCTGCAGACATTTGTTACTTATGAAAAAAAATTAGTTTGCATGTTTCTCTAAACAATTTCAGTAAGCTATATATTAGACAGATAATTCTCTGGAAATATATTAACTTAAAGTACAGATACTATGGAAGACAAGCAATACATATACCTTAAGTTATTTGATACAATAGAATTTTGGACTGAATGCAAAGTAATCATGATACATTACAATTTATACAAATGTATTACATGGACATCACAAACCTGGAACAGCTTTATCTGTACACATGTAACTCTAACAAGATGACTTTGTTGTAATATAAGAAACTCCAGTTCTCAACTGCATAGGTTTATCAACACAAAAAAAAAAATTGACTGCATAAAAGCCCTTTCATAAAATTTAAAACCTGCATAAAAAAAGGAAAGAGATGGGTTTTCATTCATTTACATGGGGCAATCCAAAAGTTTCCGAAATTTGAATTTTGCGCGCGAATAGTTATGAGTACATTGAAATACCGCTAGGTGTCTCCTCACAGATCCTTCTTGAATCAGTGTGGCAAGCGGCGTCAAGTTGAGTGGTTGGGTTTATTGTTGGTGAACGTATTTCCATTGTTGTGTTTCCGTGAGTTTGCGGTTTTGCGATGGCTGACCTGAGAGAGCAGCGTGTCTGTATAAAGTTTTGTTTCAAACTTGGGAAAACCGCTGTAGAAACGCACCAATGTTGAAGCAAGCTTTTTGTGAAAACAGTTTAGGCCAGACACAAACTTACAACTGGTACAAGTGTTTTAAAAATGGCCGAAGATTGACTGATGATGACGATCGTTCGGGACGGCCGTCAACGGGCAAAACACCAGAAAATGTCGCGAAAGTTAGGGATCTGATTCTGCAAGATCGTAGACTGACCATCCAAAACCTCTGTAACACCTTGGGACTAAGTTATGGTACATGTCAATGAATTTTGTCAGAGGAACTGAACATGAGGAGGATTGTGGCGAAGTTTGTGCCATGACTGCTGCAAAATGAACAGAAGCAGCATCGCTTGGAAGTCTGCAGGGAACTTCACCAACAGCTTCAAGAGGATCCAAACTTTCTTTCGAAGGCTGTCACTGTGATGAAAGTTGGATTTATGGCTACGACCCTGAAAGCAAGCAGCAATCAACACAATGGAAGAACCCTTCTTCACCTTGGCCAAAAAAAACTCGACAAGTCAAGAGCAACATTAAGTCCATGTTGATCTGTTTTTTTTTATATTGACGGGATTGTTCATAAGGAGTTCATCCCTCCTGGTCAGACAGTCAATAAAGAGTTCTATTACGATGTTCTAATGCGTTTTGAGGGCGAACATGAGGAGAAAACGTCCAGAGAAGTGGCGCACGAACGACTGAGTACTCCACCATGACAACGCATGACCGCATACAGCTTACATTGTGCAGGAATTTTTGGCTAAAAACAAGATGGCAGTTGTTCCCCACCCACCGTACTCGCCAGATTTAGCTCCATGCAACTTCTTTCTCTTCCCCAAGATGAAAATCAAGTTGAAGGGATGAAGATTTGATACAGTTGAGGAAATTCAAGCGGAAACGCAGACAGTACTAAACACCCTAACAAAGAAAGACTTCCAGGATGCATTTGAAAAGTGGCAGAAACACTGGGATCGGTGTATGCACTCCCAAGGGGACTACTTTGAAGGTGATGGTGCAGAATAAGATCTAGGTAAGATGTAATAGTTTTTATTAATATATTTCGCTTAACTTTTGGATTGCACCACGTATTCAGTGTTAAAGCATTGACTGAAAGTTGTTTAAAACCAAGATTTGATGTTTTTCGTTCAAAAACAAATCCTATATTGTGTAATGTAACCCTCTAGGTAGTGTCTTCAGTGTCTTGGCAACAGTGCCCCTAGGTTGATTTGAGAGCTTCAAAGCAATACAAGTCCTCCTAATGAATATCTGTTTTTGTTAATTTAACTGCACTGATTGTACAGAAATTAGAAATAACAGGACTAAAGTTAAAAAGTATAGCTATCCCAGTAATAGGCCGTGGAGGCCCATAGGAATGTCAGATGTCAAATCTACCACATGTTCTAGGCAACTGCCTCACAGCAGTGAGGTCATCAGCCTTATGCACCAGCTGCCCTCTACCCTCACGAAGATTCCTGGTACTCATTTCTGTTAGAGACTAAGTCAACCTCAGGGCCATTGTGCGGCTGGAGGGATTAGTTCAACTGAAAAATTCAATGACCTCACTGGGAATTGAACCTGCGACCTTCTGGATTGTAGCATAGTGCCTCAACCAACTATGCTACTGCATACCCCATGACAGGAGGGATATGAATAATGAACTATGAAAAGGGCAGAAGTGATCATGGTCCAACTATCTGTGTATATACCTACAGACAAATAAATTTCCTTACACCTTCCAGATGACATAATACCTTACATTATGCCACTGATTTTTTCTCATAATATTTTCAACTCATCCTCTGTGATCATCCTGCCATTTTATCATTTATAGTGTGCAGCTGAGAAAGCATCAATAAGCACACCAGGTATAGGAGTGAGGCCCTCCTTATGTGATTCTGAAAATGGAGCTTATAATACAAAGAGAAATTTTGATCTGAGATTGAAATCCTGACCTTCCAACTGCTATCATGTTGTTTTCAGAGCGCTTTTGGAAAAAAGAAACAGATTCTCAATTTGTACCACTCACTTTAAGTCTTACTATGATTTAGTATGTTACATATGACTGCAAATGTCTGCAACTAGTAGCTCATTATGAATCCTGGTTCTCATGCCCATCACAATTCAGAATCAGCAGCCTACCATGTTGCTTTTAAATCCTGTGCAACCTCTTCAAATAAAGAATATTTCTTCTAGAATGAGATGAGTACAGAATTGTCATTTTACCTTCAATAATTTACAGTCTTGTTTTACAATTCTGGACAGCACAAAAAAGAAAGAAAGAATGAATGAATGAGTAAACCACACTTGTGGGCCCAAACATACTTGGAGAACACATGTGAAAATACTATTTTTAATTGTATTTATCTCCATCACCACAATTTCTGCATAGATACACTATACATTAATTACCTACTACATATTTTGGTCTTTTGGCCATCATCAGATATGCCCTTTCACTACTGGTTGCACTGCTCAATCCTTAAAGTTGGTATTCTTTTATCAGTTGGGGGACACACACTAAACATTGGCCACTGTGAGGGGTGATCAGCACAGCCAACAGTAAATATGCATACCTGATGATGGCCAAAGGGCTGAAACATACAGCAGATAATTAACGTATGGTACATCTAAATAGAAGCTGTGCTGACAGAAATAAATACAATTGGAAATACAACCATGACATTAAGATACGATATTTATTGTCTTCAAGCTGACTAATATAACAAATGAAATTCACACAGTTCACATGGCTTGAAGGGTGACATTAGCATTCTTTTAAGTACATATAAATGTATATTCTAGTAAATCTCTGTCCCTCTATGATCTACAATTTGAATGTTGGGACAGATTTCTTTCAAGATACATACATTAATAAGATGTCCTTAAACTTCAAGAAAATATGTTATGCGCACAGGTACTTGTACCATTTTGTAATATAAGCATTATGTTCTGTACAAAAGAAGATGTTATGAAACACAGGAAAATAAAGCAGTAAAGAACAATAACTTGCATTTTTAATAAAAAAAAATTGACAGAACTGTTTTACCAACGGTCGCTCAAAACAAAGAATGCAAGCATACAATTAACATTAGTGACATTAATATCTGACTCTTTCAGTAAGATATTAATTCTATACAAATCTGATGGGTTGTTGGCCATATAAAATGCAATGCAGTTAAAACAAAACTTCTTTCTCCAAAAGTACTAATGTGTTGACTTTTAATTATGTCCTTCATAACTCTGGTACTTTGCATACAAATTTTATTAAAGACCCTGGTGTATTTCTTGATTCTCAATTGTACTTCTTGTTACCGTTAAATAATCTATGGGGCTGGGGCAAGCAGGAGGGGGACTGCACTTCTTCACATATTGATTATTAATTTTCTCATGCTATAAAGTTTCTAGCCAAATACAAACTATTACTTTCTCCTTTTCTTCTTTAAATAATTTTTGTGTTACCTTACATCAACATAGAATGAAACATGAACATGCAGCTGTAGTATGAAATTCTCTTACCAGCACTGCCTCCAACATACTAGAATGTGCAAAGAGTAAGTTTTGTACTGTATGTTATAATATATTCTCTAAAAATCACAGTTCATGCAGTTGTTAATTAAGTTGTGAACGACTTAGAATTGCAAAATATTCATAAGTTGGAAATATTCTGAGGCACTGTTCAGATAGAATATTTATAAGAGACATATTAGTCATTTTGACTAATTTTTGATCAAGGGAATTGGAAAGTATTGTAATGTAATGTAATGTAATTGCTAGCCCCTTGCTTTTAGAAGCTTATAGTATCACAGTCCTAGCCAGAAATATTAGAGACTTTAATACTGTCTATGCTTCATTTTAAGTAATACAAGTCCATCTCTTCACTATGCCTTAGCTGCAAATTAAATAACTAACAATGTCAATATGTCTAACAATAATTTCTTTAACATCAATCTTCTGGCTAACTTGGTTAATAAATAGTTTTGGTATTTTGTTACATTCAGTGTTAAAATAAACTTAAGGTTGTCCTACATCTACCATGCAGCAGAATATTAAATATGTAACTGTCCTACATTTATGTATTGTTTCCTTCACTTTATGTTCGATTTTGCTAATTCTCTAACTGACTCATGTAGCTGTTCAGTCAGCATGTAAAAGTAAAGAATTGAACTGAATTAAATTAAGTACAGTATGACAGAACAATAATGCCAGTTACTGTAGCAATTAAAAGACATAACAAAAATACTGTATCTGAATCTTTTAATAATTATGCCAACAATTTAAAACTTTAAACTTTAATGAGGTCTCCTTATTCCAAAAATAAACATAGGTTACCATCTGGATGAAGAAAAGACAATTTTTCTTACTGCAATCTTAAACTTTCAATTCTTAAAATTTAATATCTTAAAATTAACATCTATATATTACTGTGAACATTCTCAGTTAAAAGTAACATCTTGTAAAGAACATCATAATTAAATCTTACAGATTTTTCCTCAAATTTTGTTTTAAAATAAGCCTGTCTATTGAACTCCTACAAAAGAAATACACATAATAATTACATCTTACAGATTTTCACCTAAAATTTTGTTTTAAAATAAGCCTGTCTATTGAACTCTTACAATAGAAATACACATAATAATTACATCTTACAGATTTTCACCTAATCTGAATCTTAAAATGACAATATGATGGCATGGAAGATTAAAATTGAATGATGTTCTTTAATTCTCAATTCCGAATCATATTCAAAAACCAATAAATCTATGGCCATAGAATAAGAAACATTCACAACCATGCATGCACACAGCTTCCTCAGATGTACACATTAGTCAATACATCAGCACTAAGAGTCATTCCCCAGCTCTCCTGGGAAGCAATCTGTAAAAGAATGTAGGAAGAAATACAGTAAGTTCCACAGCCTAGGTCACAACATGACTGATATTTTCTGTTATCCTATGAGCAAATAAAACATTATTGGTTTAAAACACCCAATATTATTCTAGAACTCAGAAAATACAATAACAAGACCATTTCTAAAATCTTGTAACTCAGTCACCCTTTTCTGGTACTGTGATAATTTGAAAAGTCTATGCCTATACTCAAATTAGTAACTGAAGTGTTACTGTATGCCTATGAAGTTAAACATAAATTCTCCAAAACTATGATTTTCTGGTACACAATCATGAGGATTATATTTCGAAACTTCTGCTATGAAACATTTTAGTTTCTAATGGGAGGGAAAGTTTATTTTAAAATATAGTTATAAAATGTCTCTAATAACATTATTATATTCATTTATGACATAATAAACAAAATTATTTGGAACACAGATAAGAAATAAAATGAGAATTAATCTTGCAGACAGGAAAATATTGAAGGATTTGAGGTTCTCACAGCAGTGGTTATGAAGAGTTCTATCTTCTGGGATACAATGCCATGTATCCCACTGAAAGACAACCAAAAAACTGCTAGACTTTCAACTGACTACAAGAGCTTATATCTCATCTGATATAACTCTTTGGAAAATATTCATTTCCTTATACAATTACAAGTTAAGGAATACGCATGCATTCAAGGATAAGTTGTTCAAAGAAACCCAATTATACTTTCATCTGTGCTGAATGGTACACTATGAAGTTGAAAGAAGAGACAACAGAGAGTAACTGGTTTAAGGCCTAATGGGGAAAGTATTTTCCACCAAAATATATATCATATTTCAAAATCTAATTTAAACCTCATTAAAAAGACATAAGAACTAAAATAGAAAACAATGCTGAGTGCTTGCATTTCTGTCTGTGCAAATTCATTCACCAAAAATTCCAAGAAGAGATAATGAAGATTAAGGGCCAAATCCAGAAATCGTATTCCACCAAAAAGTGTATATATAAAAATTTCATTTAGTTCACTTTAAAATGTAAAAACTGAAAAACTGCTGCTGAGTGTCCATGCTTTGTGAAATGAAGGCCCAGAATGTTTCAACACATAACTGCTGCCATGCTGTCAGACCACTCTGATTCTTCCGGTAATAGATGCATATTCACAGAAGTGTATATAAAGGTCTTGATCCTAATGAGAACACAGGGAAAAATTATGAATTTCCGTTGTATTCCAATTCTGAATATGTGCTGAGATAATATTGTCACGTGTTGGGCATATAACGCGACAAATAACTTCACAATGTATTTGATGTAGCGAATTTTATTTCACATTCGCACTTACAATCACCCAAATTACAGATTCACAATTGCTGCTATCTGCAGTATCACAAATACTACACTTCAAATGCCACAATACAACTGACTGGTTGCTGGCTAACTCGGAACTAACTCGGAGGTAGCTCGAGGACTGACTCAAGGCAGCCCCAGGACTCACTCGGCGGTAGCTCCAGGACTGACTGTGAATAGCCTTCGCTGCTCCTTATGTAGCCTCAATCGGACAATTGTCGTCTGGTGCCGTGTTGCTAGCCACGCTGTCCGGAGTTGTTGACTGCTGCCTAGCAACCGCGATATCCCTCGGTGACATCACCGCCGTTGATTCGCTTTGCATAGCTTCAAGGTCGCGGGGACTCGGCTAACGTCGGCTCCGCTCGGCTGACTTCGGTTCCGCTCGTGACGTCACCGCGCGTTGCGCGTTGCATAGCTACCAGGATGCGGGGTGATTACTCGCCTATTACGCGAGCGCTACGTTACCGCTACGTGCAGCTGGGGAGGTAGGGGTCAACATGTCACACTGCTCCCTCCTTAAGGCTGCTTGTCCCGAATAGCCTAACGGTGCATCCCCTTTCCTTTTCCTCGGTGGCTGTTCCTGCAGGGTCTCCTGTTGTTTTGGCTACTCTTCTTGCAGCGACTATTCTTCGTCCGTTACATCCGCTCCCCTCTTAAGACAAAGCTCGTCTCGAGCGGGTTCCTTTCAGCTCGCCAGAAGATCACATTCATCCATCGCTTTTTCCCATGGCACATTCACTCCCTCTGGGGAGGCCGGTTCTTCTATTTTACCGGCTCCTCTTCTGTGCCCTGCTTCTTTTTTCGTTTTGGAGGGGGTCGACCCCTCCATAATGTCCACTAACTTATTTTCCGTAACCCGTTGGCAGTACCGACTACATGTGTCACGAACCTTCCACTGAAGATCACGTTGCCAGTCTTCTCCCTCAGGCGTAGTAGTTCCTCCACGTCCTGGTTCCTTATGTCCTTGCTGCATTTCCGTTGTGGCTGATGCCGCCTCCCGGACGTCTGTCCTGTCACGGTTGTCGTCCTTCCTTTCCCGGCTTCTTTCCCAGCATTGACCCTCGTTGAGCATCTCGTTACGGGATCTCCCTTGCGCCGTGTCGCACCTGCACGACCAGTCATATTGCTGTCGGCAGCCAATTCGTGCCATGGGCCACAATTTCCTTGGGTCGTAGATTTCTTGAAGATGTTGCGTTTGCGCCAGGCCACTGTTGCGTGGCGGGACACCTTCGTGTGGACGACGGCCGATTTATTCTGGGGTCCGCAATTTTTCCGTGTCGGGTTCTTCATGTTTCGTCGATGTCGGTCCCTGCGCCTTTTCTTCTTCGGTTCTCCGACCGGTATTACTGCGGCGTCTTGTACGGGTACCTCTAGTAGTTCTGCCGCCTCAGGTTTCCTGTGCACTGAAACCGGCTTTTCATCTTCTGGACGTGCCTCCATCTCTTGGCAGGCCGTCGTCACTCCGACCGGTATCACTATGGGGACCTCTTCTTGTTGTGCTGTCGCAGGTTTCGTGTCCACTGGGCAGGCCAACGTCTCATTGTCTTCGTTAGGAATTGACTGTCGGTTAACTACAACCGCTTTTCCTCTTGCATATCTACCAGAATGCGGGGTGATTACTCGCCTATTACGCGAGCACTACGTTACCGCTACGTGCAGCTGGGGAGGTAGGGGTCAACATGTCACAATATACTCCACCTGAATAGATACTAGATTCTGAATTTGCAGGACTCTAAACTACACCTATGAACACAATTAACAGGAAATATTCTACATTAACAGTTGACAGCAATAAGGGAAAATGACATGAACTTTCTTTGTTATCAGAGTACAAAGAAATCAATAAACTACCGAAACAAAGGATCAATACACAGGTTCTTAAAATCTGGCAATGCTTTCAAATGTAGAGAAAAGCCACACCCAAATTTATAATTTCCATGGATAGGATCAACTAACAAAATCAAGACAAGTTCTATCTTCTGGCATATAACTCCATGTAATCCAGTGAAAGTCAACCAACACCTGAGAGGAACACACTGCCTCCATCTTCAGGGTTGAGTATGCCAAGCAAGACACCAGCATGGAGCAGGCAGCAAGCAGTTGGTTTCTTGCTTGGTTTACTCTTTGACCCTGAAGATGGATGCAACACATGCCTTCACAGTGCTGGATGACATACACCAGACTGCATGGTGTTATATCCCATGAGGTGGAATACTATGAGGAACTCAAATCCAACATAATTGAGAAACATGTTGCAACACTGTTATACACACATGTTAATTTTTATTAGATTTGAGGAAACAAACATGACATTTATATCAACTTTCTAGACCAAAAAATTAAACTTGAGCAGCTAACATTGCTTTTCTGCTCAATAAGACTCTATACATAATTTTGAAATGTAAATATTCTGTGGACTGAAATACATGAAAGCCAGTCAGTGGTATAAGTATTACTACAAAAGAGGAAGTCATGTAAGTTGAAGCTACATATAGTTTTTCTCCTTCACATTCAACACATTTCCATGAACGTTTTCTTGTAGCTTCCTCAAAATCCATTATTTCTATACTCTTACTACCTACTTATTTTAGTCCAGCCATTATAGCATACTGACTCCAAGTAACTTTGCAACCAATATTATTATAAAATACAAACGCTTCCTATGAGACTAGAAATTAAAACCAGAGAACCTACGCATATCAACCAACAAATATGAATACAATTAACCCTTATACACTCAGTGCACTGATCCATCAGCGTGTAAGGTAATGGCCAGAACACTTGGGTGGCCAATCTATGGGTTCTATCAAAATCATGCTCTTTCAGTTACATAAATGGTTCAAAGCAGACAAGAGGGTACCTAATTCTCCAAGGGAAATTTTACAGTTCTGCACCTAAATGGCATCCTGTTGCTTACAAAAATATTTTTTTTTTATACAAATGAAATATGTTGAGCTCACATATTTACTTTGCGGTTCAGTGCTTTCTTGGTCTGTGGTTTTAGTTGTTGTACTGTTAATATATCATAGTTTAGTGGCACCATTTTGCTTTTATAATAAAGTTATATATTATTTATCATATTTTTGTTATATTTTTCAGAGTTTATAGTATATATAGCTAGTTATTTTACATTTTTAACTAGACAATGGCTGCTTCAAGCTCTAGGCAATATGACTCTGACATGTTGGAATATTTAGATACAAGTGAAAGTGATTGTGACGTTATTCCGAAAGGTAACATTGATAATATGAGTGAAGATGATGACGATGCCTGACATGCCACAACCCCAGCTGCTCAGCCTGTGTCTGAGAGTGAAGAGGATGACATGGATGATGAAGACTACAGGGAACTTCTGTCACTTGATCAACCTCTCATTCTTCCTTTCCTATTGCAAGAACCGTCTGGACCTAAGCATATGCCCCCTCCTGATTCTCCTCCTGCTTACTTCAATTTCTTCTACACAGACTTGATCCTTACCCTCATAGTGACAGAATCCAACAGATATGCACAGCAGTAAAGCGGGTAACGTTCCCACTCCGCTATAGAACTGAACCAGAATTACCATGCACGAGATGAACAGATTCCTGGCCTGTATTCTAATTATATGCATCATCAAAAATCCAACCATTAGCATCATACTGGTACACTCTCTATTCCCAAGCAACTCCATGATTTGTGAAAATGTTTACCAAGCATCGCTTTTCCCACTTGTCAGCAATGAAGAATTGCCAGGCCCCGGACAACCAGACTCTGAGCCCTGTGCAAGGTACCAACGCCTGTGGACCATGCAAACAGGGTATTCAGGCATCACTATACCCCTCATCAAGAAATTAGTGTTGATGAAAGTCTGGTAAATACAAAATCGAAACCAGTCTCATGCAGAATTTGCCCAACAAGCACTACCACCACTGGGGAATCAAATTTTGGATGTTGCACGACTCTGTGTCCAACTACTGCCTGGGGGTTTTCACATACAGAGCGGCCAGGTCTCAGGCAGAGGGGGGGGGGGAGAAGAAGAAAAAAAAATTGCCTGGGGTATACCTCAATGTCTTCGTCAACAACTACTTCATATCTGTTCCACTTGTCTGCCATCTCCATTAGCTAAGCACCTACATCACTGGAACTGTTAGGAGGAATAGGAAACTTTCACCCCAGCAGTTCAAGAACAAATATGCAGTTGGACATAATGTATCGGTGATCTGGTCTCCTTCTCACACGTTTTCTGTGAGAAGAAATCACCAAAAAAAAAAATTCTGACATTCTTTTCTCTAGCTACACCACAGCCCAATAAGAGGAACTATGGGTAAGACATGATGTCAGTCCACAAATAAAATAAAAAATCATCAAATCCTATAAGTTTATGGGCGGCATCAACTCTTCAGACACGATGCTGTACACTTAGTTGGTTGAATGGCCGACAATGCCTTATTGGAAAAAGGTAGCTTCCAACATCATAACAAGGATGGTGTTAAATAGCTATATTCTCTATAAGGAAAATTACAGGGGGCCTGGTAAACTGAAAGCCAGGTACAATTACAGTGTCCATAATCGAGAGCTCAGCAGAGGAGTTGTCAGCACTGAAGGACAACACTAGAGCAGATGATCCTTGGGGACCACAAAGACTCTGAAAACTCTATGAAAAGAAAGTCCCAATGCACTGTCTGCAGCGCAAAGGAGAGGAGGCAAACAGCCAGAACAGTATGCACCAGCAACAAGGGGCTCCATGGAGAATGCTTCCCTAAACATAGGTGCTAACTGCAAAAGGTATGTATGCACTATTTTACATAGTGCGACGTAGTTCCAGACCAGAGACCTCTTCATCTATAAAACTTATATAAAAATTTACAGAAAAATATTCTCTTTTAAGGTTTGGTGACAACAAAAGAAGACCAAACAGAAAATTTTATTTTTTACCTAAATTATGTATATTTTAAATTTCTATATTTAATTCTTTCAGTTTTATTTTATTTTTTTTTATTATTTATAGTAGCATTTTTATGATATTTTTATTCATATCTGCTGACTAACTTTGGATCCATGGAATGGAATGCAATGCAATGCAATGTAATGTAACGTGAATCTTTCAATATGTCTTTGACCAAAATTGTATTTTTGGTGAATTTTTGAAGTGAGACTTGTAAATGGAGCCAAATTCGCCTGAATGTTTTAGGTCAGGTACTTGAAAAATAGGCTGAGTGCAAAAGGGTTATATAGGATAACCTTCACTGCACTATTTATAAGCACTGTGTCTTGAGCCTACTAAGACCAATTAATTAAAATATCCTTTAATATAACACAGGGCCCACTTAAATTTAATACATTCTATTGAGTTGGGTGTATCATTAAACACAAACATTTTCTTAACCTCAAGCAGGAGCACCCTGAAATTTTACTTGAATTGGCATGTGAGGTTTACACAATTACTCATGAATGTGAATAAACTATTTGTTCATTTTTATTAAAATTGCTTTATTCATCATTGAACATAAACATTTTGGTTATTTTATCATTATTAGCAGCACAGTTCACATAAAATTTAAAATAAGATAATTGCAGATCAACTACACGTGTATTAACTTTTGAGGCGGCAGTCTTCTATATCACAGCCATATGTCATCCATACAAGTTGTTTGCATGAATTGCATTCTGAAGTCTGCATATTTTTCTCTTACATCTTTTATGCTTTCTTTCTCAATAACACTCAACCTGCTTCACCTTCAGTACTTTTACAATACTTTCAAATGTATGCTGTCACTTCAGCAGCTCACAAGGACTTCATTCTTACCCTCTGAATAACATTCCACACTGGAATGGTAAAGAAATTGCACACTGACTCCTGCCAATTACATTAGTGAAAAGCACACAAAAGTACTGGCCACTGGTGGATGACACAAACTATAAAATATGTATTTCATGTTTTATCAACTGTGTCAGCTCCATACTTTAGCTCTGAATGGCTGGCAGATTATCATCTCCTGAAGTTATTCATGCATTGTGCTTATATTCACTTCCCTGACTGCATTTAGTAACAAGTTCCTTTCCTTTCTCTGATATAACACTCTCTCTGGCCTCATTGTGGTGAGTCTTCAAGTATTCTCACAATTTCTTCATCTGCCATATCATGTGCCCTATGAAAAAATGACATCACTCAAATTTCTGTTTGTACATACCAAAAATATTTCCTTATTGCTAGCACAAAAATCCAGTCCTTCATTTTATTTCATTCAATTTGATCATACTATATGCTGGCTGTTACATAGTGAAGACTACTGCTGTTACTATGTATAAAGACCTAAAATATATAATATAAAATTACTTACATGACCAGCTGTGTGGTATATTCAGTACATCAAACATCACTTCTATTCCAATCAAGTTATCTGTGATGACCAGCTGCACTAACGAGTCCTACTTCAGAAAACATTCAAAATGATACTAAAGGAATAATAAAAAGGCAACACATGTCAGGCATACAGTAGTGTTGCCACATTAAAATTAGTGAAACGGTGTACACCAGCATGCCGAGCCTGTTTGAGGATTAAATGTCTACATTTATGCCTTATCCATCCTATATGGAATGGTGAGGGATTATGCAAAATATATAACACAATGGCAAGGCCATTTACACTATTATTTTCTTTTTGAAGTGTATGAAAACTACTGCACTATTAAAAGCTTTATTAGGTACCTTCTTTAATGCCGTTGTTCCAAGTTATTTACTATTAAGGTAGACTTAAATTTAGTGTACCAAAACAAAGTTACCTTGGCTGAACTTAACAGCGTACTCTGCCTTGATGGATAGCAATAAAGGCAACACATAGCCAAGAAGTGGACGCCTTATGGGTTCTGCTGCCCAGCACTCCTCCATCAGTAGCCAGCATTGTTCATCAAAACATTTTAATCTTTCTGGTCGGGTACCTATATTTCAGAACTGTATTAATCATAAAGTAGGTTTACTTTAAAGAAAATATATACAAAACAAAACAAAAAAAAACTCCATGATTTTAGTCCGCAAGCGAACTCTACCAACTGAGCGACCGCTGCTTGTTGGCAAAGTTTAGTGCCAACTTTTGCATATAGAGGGTGTCACGTGGTCAGCGCAACAAATCCCCACGGCCGTTAATTTAAGTTTTCTAGACCGGAGCCGCTATTTCCTTGAAATAGCTCCTCAATTATCATCATGAGGCTGAGTGGATCCCGTTCCAGACCCACTACTTCTCAGAAAAAATCTGGTAGTGCCGGGAATTGAACCCAGACTTCTGGATCTGTAGCCAGGAACGCTGACCACTAGACCACAGAGGCGCTACAGAAAATGCATACAAGGTAAAGTAAAACATGCAGTTGCCCCTGTGACTAAGCACAATACAAGTGCAACACACAGCCTCCTAACATCATGTGGACTAATGTTACTACATCACTTTCTTGCAAAATTCTAGAATTGAAGGTGGAACAAAGCAACACATTCTTCTGTTTGAATAAGTTGCATACAAAATTATGATTTATTTTCAAAATATGAGCTGACTGTCATATAGATAAATACACAGATTGATTGATCAATCAATGAATCTTAGAGAAACAGAGGTTTATTCAGAACACAACTATTTCAGTACAGATATACACACAGATTCTCTTATGAAATGTAACAGTATGTGACTCATATATTTATTTGCATTAATAAGGATTAGTTTCACAAGATACCGGTAACTACGGTTATACTAATTTTATCTACTAGGTCAATACAGTAGATATCTCTTCCAGGTACATGCAGATGCATACAGCCAGCCTCCAACATCTTCTATATTTTTATTTAAACAATGGACAGTGTCCACAGAATGACACTAGACCAGTTTTATATTTCATTAAAGTATGTTCAGCTCAATAAGCAATCTAAGAACAAAATGGCATGGACCATTCTTATTTTTAACTTTTAACATGAATTTTTATTCAAGTACTGCAAATCAGGAAATATGGAAACCTGAGCAGTATGGTAGGGGAAACAGGATTATAGTCTGCCTTGGGGACAATTCTTCCATACTTTAAATTGACATAGTCTTAAATGGGGTTTACACAGAATACAAACAGACAATGGCACTTTATTATCAATCGAAGATACTTTCTTTAATCTAACAAAAAATTACCCATTTATGTTATGTAAGTCTACAAACAACAGAAAATACTCTGCAGTGTACCTCACTGCTGTGAGCAAAGATAATATTTTTTATGCCCTGGTCCAGCATGACAGCACAGGTAAACCAAGAAGACACTAAGGCACATGTCTGCACACAACACACAATTTTATGTATTAATTTCATACAGTTGTTACATGGAAATATGAAAGATAATAAATATTTGAAAAACTGCTATATGTTAAGTCAGTTTCTTCTTTCTTACACTATCATCACAATTTCCAACCTTCATTTTAATATCTTTTCATGAGGAATTTCACATCTTCGTTGGTTCTTCAGACAAACTTGTCACAACTTGTGGCTTCTCACCTTGACACATATTTGTTTCTCTTTCTCTCTCACCTGGAGGAAATCTTACATTGAGGAACCTTAAACTAGGACATATACATGTCTATAGCTTTGAAAACTTCAAAACTAACTGGGCCAAATTGATAACGAACCTAGACTAAACACACAGACACAAAACAAATTTTAACAAGTTTCAACAACAGAAGAGCAGGGGCACACACACTCTAATTACATTGTACTGATGTTTAATTTTCACTCACCTTTCTTCACACCAATCCAGAGCTGTTCCTTATTCTGAAACTGTTCAAACTTCAGGGGTAATTTTACATGTCCAGCACAAATATACCAGAAGAGTATTCCAAATGCATAAATATCAACACTGCTGTCATAATGGCCTGAGAGTAGTTCTGGAGCCATGTGAACAGGAGTTCCCACAATACTGCCTGACATCATTGCTTCAGGAATGCAGAAGCCAAGATCTGTTAGTTTGGCTCGATTGTCACAATCCAGCTGCAATAAGAATTTTAACCTTAATCACAGAAATTTTGGTTAACACCAAACAAATAAAAATCATTCATTCTGATTACTAGTTCATACGTAGACTTCTGCAGTTATACTGTACTTTGTGATATCTGAACTCTGTAACTTTCTCAGAATTACAGTCATTCACTCTTAGAAACTGAGTATTTGTTAGGTTTAGTTATAAATTCCATATGCTTTATTTACAACTTTTATGAATGCTGCATTCATATATCTCTATAGTGTCAATGTCATTTACACAGGCTAATATTTGAGTTGACTTATAATATACAGTTCCACTTCTTTTAATTCCTGAGTACCACATTATCTTCTTTGAGCACAGTATGTAACAGCATGCATGCAAGAGCATTATTATGTCTCAGGCCTTTCCTTGTAGCAAGGAGTTCTGACAGATCACTCAGCAGTTTCACTTTCTATCTTACCACCCTCTTCAACACAGTTTCAGTTTGGTTAATTTGCTGGAGAGTTCAAATACTCAACTGCCACAAACAACTGATCTCCCTTCTTCCTATCACAGACAAAGTCTATAAAGTTCCTGGTATAAGGAACAGAAATCTATACAAGATACACACAACCAAGGGAAGCGGCATGATCAATGGGGCACAAAGCAGCCACAATAAGGGTACAGGAAGAACAGACATCCCATAACATAATGACGCACGTTAAGAACACTACTGACAAAGTCAAAGTGCAGTCGATTCCTTAAAAAGTGTGTTGCCTGAGGATGGCCCAGTGAGGCTGAAACATGTAGCGCCCAACGTAGAATGTATATATATTTTAATGACATTTTAAACATTTTGACGAAAATTTTAGTGAGTTAAATGTGGACTACTGTCATCTAAATATATATTATTATTGTTGTAGGATGAAAATCTGCAAATGATACTTCAATGTAACAGAATGCTGAAGTATAAGAATATGAACCGTGCTAATATTCCATACTCCATTCCCATGCCTTTTCAATTATCTCTCTTAAAAGTATGAATTTAATTTGTAGCAGACTTTCTGGACCTAATACCATACAGATAAGTCCTAAAAATGTTATTCAGATACAATAGTAATCATAATTGTAATTTATGTGCAGATTTTGTAGGCTGAGCTCAAAAAGGTAAAGCCTCGACGGTTTTGGCATTCTGAATTACCTTCCTCCTCCCACTTGTGGGCAATCCCTGTAGTCCACACTTTATCCATCATTTCATGTATTTTAGCTATTAATTCAGGTGCATCTAACTTAATGAGTTCAGCACTTACATCATCTGATCCAGGAGCTCTGTTATTCACTAATTTTCTGATAGCAGCTTTAGCCTCTTCCAACGTAAGGACCCAGTCTTCATACTCATCAACAGGAGAACCTTCCAGAAAATTAGATTCATATCCTCCTACTTCCTCTTGAGGTTGACCTCCAACCTCCACTCCATCAAGTAATTACTTAATATGTTGATTCCATCCATACAGAATCTCTATTCTGTCACTAACTAATTTCCATTTGCATTTTGCCCATCACGGTCCTTGGTTCAAACACATTCCTCATACCACTAACTAATCAATAAATTTTTTGTAAGATTTGAGGTTTTCACGGCGGTGACTATGAAGAAAGCCGTCTTCTGGGATGTGGCACCGTGTAGAAATTGTGTTAACCAACGTTTCGCCACAACGTTTTGCCTCCATCTTCAGGGTAGAAGACAAGAAGAAATCCACGAGCAAACCAGCTAGAGCAGGTGCAACAGACTGAGTCCAGTCGAGTAAACACAGTTGTATAACAGAAGGAGAAAAGTGAGTGTGGCTACATAGGGAATAGTAGAGAGGGGAAGGGGGGTAAGGGTCTGGTGGAATAGCCAGCAGGTAATAGGCCAGAGCTGCTATAGAGTATGTGTTAGGGGGAGAGAAGGGAAGGTTAAATGGAGGGCATTAACCCTGTAGCTCGGGGGCTGTGATGGACCTCAGTGGGCTATAGGGTCTGCTGTATTTCAGAGGTTTCTTGAGGGAACAGATGAGAGGTTCCCATGAATTGCTGAGACAAAACTCCACCTCTCTGTTCATATTGTCAGGATGGAGTTCAATCTCAATGACCTCCCTAATGATGTGATCCATATAATGGGTCTTGGTAGCGAGGATGGAGGTATTCTGAAGATGAATGCGATGTCCCAAATCGATGCTGTGTTCAGCCACAGCTGACTTGTCTGGATATTCAAGACGGATGTGCTGCTGATGCTCTTTCAATCTCATGTCCATAGAACGGCTTGTCTGCCCAATGTAAACCTTTCCGCATTCGCATGGGATATTGTATACACCCGGTGTCCTTAGGCGCAGGCTATCTTTGACCGGCCGGAGGAAACTAGATAATTTCTTTGGAGGCAGGCCCACTGATTTGATGTTGTGCCGGGACAGCACTCTGCTAATACGGTTGAATATAGTCCTGACATAAGGCAGGAAGGCGACTGAGTCTGGTTTATCTTCGGGCCGACTGATGTTCAGCTGACGGTTGAGAACTCTGTGGATCTGCCAGTTGTTGTATCCATTCTGCCTGAAAACATCCCCCAGGAGCACCAACTCCGCATGTGGGTTGTCTTGATTGCATAGAGCTATAGCCCTGAGCACCAATGCCGAAAGTACAGCTTGCTTGTTGGAAGGGTGGTGGTGGGATGCAGCGTTAAGGTAAAGGTTTGTATGGGTGGATTTGCTGTACACTCTATGGCCCAGAGAACGAACAGGCCTCCTGTAAATATCTATACCCAGGAAGGGGAGGTGACCCTCAATTTCAGTCTCCACTGTGAACTGAATGCACTGGTGGATACTATTTAGGTGGTTCAGGAAGTCCTTCAGCTTGTCAGGCCCGTATGGCCAGATGACGAAGGTGTTGTCCACATAGCGAAACCAGTAGTGGGGCTTGTGTGGGGCCAAGTCAAGTGCCCTCTCTTCGAAGTTCTCCATATATAAGTTTGCGATGACCGGAGATGGTGGCGAGCCCAACGCCACACCATCGGTTTATTCATAGAACTGGCCATTGAAGATGAAGTATGAGGTGGTCAGGACATGGTGGAAGAGTCTCAGGATATCTTCTTTGAAATGTTGTCCTAGCAGATCCATAGTATCCTCTAAAGGCACCCTGGTGAAGAGCGACACTACATCGAAACTGACCATTATGTCATGGAGATCGACATGGAGAGAAGCCAAGGTGTGAACAAATTCCATTGAGTTACTCACGTGGTGTGGACAGCTGCCAGTGTTGTTGCTCAGTAGGCCAGCCAAGTGTTTGGCCAAGCAATAGGTAGGAGAGCCAATAGTGCTCACAATGGGCCTTAATGGAACATCGGGCTTGTGGATCTTCGGCAACCCGCAGAGTCTAGGTGGCCTGGAATCTTGAGGTTGTAGCTGTTGGCAGACCTCCTCAGCCATCAGGGACTTTTTCAGGAGAAGAACAGTCTTGTGCTCTATGGAATCAGTAGGATCCTTCTTCAACTTCATGTAGGCCTTGTCCTCCAAGAGAGCAGCGATCTTCCAGCTGTAGTCTGACGTATCCAGTACCACGGTCGCATTACCCTTGTCAGCCGAAAGGACGGTGAGCAGCTCATTGGCTTTTAAGGACCAAAGGGTTCTCCTCTTGGCACCAGTCAGGTTGTCCTTGGNGGTAGGGTGGGTGGGTGCTGGGCCACATGCAAATGTTAAAACTTCCTGCAGTGCCTGGCTCTTATGTCATTAACGAAATTTTTTGCTCTGAATTTTCCATTTCCACTAATTATTCATGACATATATATATTTTTCTTTTTATCCCCTTTCCTTTCCTTCCTCTTCATTCTTTGTTTTCCTCAACTTCATTTCTAGTATAATCTTTTTAACTCATGGCTCTGTATGGTTGATTCTCATTAGTTGTACCCTCAGAACCTTCATCACACCATTAGTCTCTTTCTAGCCTGTTTTCTCTCTTACTCACTTCACCAAAAGCTTCTATAATCTGTTTACAAGCTGTCCATAATGGTAATGATAATGGTACCTATTATGTAACTCAGTCATATCAGGTTTCTGTAATTATTTTTTGAATTCAGTAAATCCTCACTTATAGAATTTATTTGAGGCAATAAGGTTAAGACAAAGAATATCATAGACATAATTAATGCACTCTTTTACAGCCAAAACTGGGTCTGAAAGTTGTGGTGGATAAAAAATGGATTTTATTTTTCAGAGTACAATTTTACATCTTAAACTGAGGCAATTACAGTTGGATGTGATGTCACAACATGGTTTGGATACATGTCTCAACAGACTCCAATATTTTCATAAACACTGGGACAAAAAATGCCCCTCAATAACATTTTGACTAATGCACTTCCTTTTTTTTAAAGATGTGATGGAAGTTGAATACAACATGCCAATATTTGTGCCTACGAAATCCACCATATGCTTCCTTGAAGAAGAGTGAGACGCAAATTTTCCTTGATAAAATTTGAATTGACATATTTTTTGGCTGAAAACATGACTGAAGTTGAATGTGATGTGGCAATATGGTATGGATATTCATGGCTATAGACTCCATCACATGAATCTTTGATAACAATGAGATTAAAATGTCCCTTGGTAAAATTTTGATCAATATATAACAGTTCTGGGGCCATTGCTCTTTTTGATAAATATTAATGATTTGCCAAATACAGTCAACTCTGGATTATCTGGGGGCGGATTAACTGGTTTGCGGCTTAACCGGGGCTACTGAGGCTTTTTTGAGGCTTATATGTTGTTTAATATTCATTCTCTTTTGTTTCACATGGTGAGTTGTAACACCATTTTCGCACTAGTGTGAACCGAGCTCTGCATTCTTTGGTCCCGTTATACTAACACAATGTTCTAGGGTAGGGGTGAAAGAATGCAAAGATTTGTGGAACGTTTCAAGGACAGATTCACCGCCCCAGTTGCTCTCTTTGCATCGATCTTCAAGTGCGTTAGCAAAACGTCAGGGTGTAAAAGGAAGCGTGTTGTGTCAAGTATTCAACAGAAACTCGTGAGCCGAGCTTCGAAATGTTAAGCAGTGACGAAACCGTAAGTTCAGTGGGGGTGCAGCCAGAAGAGCGGGAAGAAAGTGAGAATGAGGAAGAGGTGGACAGTGCTGCTAGTAAGAAAATATCACATGGTGCTGCTCTTAATCATTTGGANTTATTCGCTGATGACACCAGCATACTGTGCTGCAAGTCAAATCTTACAGAACTTGATATCGTCCTAAAAGAAACTCTTGAATCAATCAATAAATGGTTCTCTACAAACTTGTTAATTTTGAATTTAACTAAAACAAGTTGTGTGCAGTTTTTAACAAAACCAAATGTACTAATAAACTTAAATATTAAACATGATGATATCCAAATTAATAATACGAATACTTTGAAATTCCTTGGACTGACAACTGATATTACGTTAACATGGAAGGAACATATTAAACAAACAGCCAACAAACTGAGCTCGGCTTGTTATGCTATAAGAGTTCTAGTCTCAATATTGTCCCTAGAGAGCTTATTGATGATGTATAATGCCTATGTTCATTCTATAATGTCATATGGCATAATATTCTGGGGAAATTCAACGTATAGTAGCCAAATCTTCAAAATTAAAAAAATAATAATTACGGTAATAGTGAAAGCAGGAAATAGGGACACTTGTCAGCCTCTGTTTAAAACATTAAACATTCTTCCATTTTATTCACAGTATATATTTTCAATATTGGTCTTCATAGTTAAAAACATGGACAAGTATGTAACAAATTCAGATATTCATAACATTTATACGAGACAAAGATTCGAATTACATTATCCAACTTATAAATCAACCAGGGCTCAAAAGGGAGTATCTTACACTGGGATTAGAATATTTAAAAAATTA